CGAAGGGGGGTGACGCCAGTTAGGATAATGCTACCAGACGCGATAACGTGAGCAAATCTGACATCCAGAGTGAGTGGCGCACCGAAACGTCGTTTTCTAGTTGCTTAATCACTGCTTTTGTCAATGTTGAAACGTTGTTTTACTGGTTGCTTAGTCACTGTTTTTGTCGATGTTGAGACATCGTTTAATTGGTTTTTGGTATTGTTTCTGAACACCCCAGGCAAGAATGAATTTTGTTGTGTAGTTAAGTTAGAGACTAAGAGGCCTTTAACCATGCCAACATGCAGTTCATTCATTAAATTGCAATCTTTGCGGAGTCAATGTATATTATTGCTACCTTAAGTACCATAATTTACATTGATCTCACAACGCTTAAAGCCGAACCTACTCGAACAACTCTATTCGGGGGGATAGCTAATTCTTTTTGATGAGTCTCGCCATAGACTTCCAAAACATTTATGGGAAACCAAACACCCAATCTCAAGTCGTTCGTCTAATAGACAACAGACAATTGAACCAAACTATATTTCGCCATGTAAAGCTAACTTAAACCAAGTTAGAAATGGAAAAATAGTTTGGAACCCTTTTCTATAGGTATAAACCCCTATAGTTACCCTTTTCAGCATGTTCCACCCCTTAACTGGTAGTTGTAGCTGTTCCCAATCATAATAGCTTACACACCAGGTGCATATAGTTTAAGGCCTTATGTAAAATCCCCTTCATAAGCCCACCTTAAACCGCATAATTGCATGTCACATTTGAACCAGAACGGCACAGACTGGACATCCACCCAGCGACGACCTTCGCTGGAGGAGACCTGCAATCCTGACGTTGGTCTCCAATCTTCATCCAGTGGCTGCATCTTCGGTTCAATCCAAGGGAACCCCTCTGTATGCTAATCAATCAACACTTCCAATCGTTGTGGATTTACCGTTGTGGATTATATGACTTTTTCCAATGGATTACAGACTCTGTTTCCAAGGGGTTAAAGCATTGCTACAATGGAATTACCGACGACGTTATGGAATTATAATCAACACAATGGAATTACCAAGAACATTGTGGAATTACCTTGACTTTGTTTTCCTTGCTGGATTACCTTGACTTTTGTTTTCCTTGCTGGATTACTCTTGACTCTTGTTTCCTTGCTGGATTACTTCAAGCTCAAGGACATTCGAAGGCGTAAGTTCATGTTTGGAATTCATCCCCATGGACAGGCGATGATTTCCAAAGGGGGGGACTGTAGTGAACTTGACCTGATGTCAAAACTAAGCCTAAGGTCAAAACCCTTGACCTTAAGAACCTTGTGGGACAGAAACTGTCATTTCATTGATTTGAATCCAGAAATACAGGTTCACCCATCCTGAGACTTTCTTTCTTGAAAATTCAAGTGAAAGAACACTCTCTTTTTTATTATCATTACTATTTTACAAATGTTGATAATCAAAGTGTTTTAGTTCAAACCATTTTAGATGTTGCAGTGAACTAATCAATTTTTATTAACTGTGAAACAGTGTAATGATTTTTTAATCCTCATGCAAAGTTAGAATTCATGTTAAGGTCTGTTACAGAGTAATTATGCATTTTCTGATTTTCTGTCTTTGAATGAGCAGTGTAAGTTTGATCCAAGGTCGAAGTCGAAGCAGACAAGTGTTGGAACAACTGTCTTGTTTTTAAATCCTCTCAGACGTAAACAGAGAAGTTGGCACCTGTTTCTCCAAACTCGCCCAAACATTTCTCTCGCCTGTCTGAAAACATTTTCAATCTGTTCCATAACATTCTTGCTGGTTTCTGACTTTCCATAACACCTTACATCACAAAACACACCCCTGTCTGGTTGATATTGACCAATCAGAAACTCTCAAATGAACCGGAAATAGAGCCCTTTAAAATGTCGGTACTTCCTAGTTCTCCCAGTTCTGTGAAGCGGCAGTTCTGTGAAGTCGTTGTTCTGTGAGTTGCCGTTGGAGTCGGGCTGGAGAGTTTGCAGCTCCAGTCGTTTGGGAGAACAGAAGTCCAGCCATGATAAGGCTCTTCCGAGATTGGGATTATAACATCTTCCACCTCTGAGGGGACTTCTGAAGAACCCCACTCATGTGAAGTCCACCCGTTGAGGTGAACTGTTGTTGACGAAGTCCCGTCACCACTCCGGATATATCTCTGCCATCCTACGGAGACGCTGAAAGGTAGCGTTACCTGGAGCTCCTCTTCCGCTGATTCATCGTCAGAGAGGTAAATGAGTCTAGTCCACTACCGAGCGTACCGAGGAAAGCTGGGTCGGATGGAGGGTGTCGTCCTGTCAACACTTTTCACTCATACACACCACATTCTCCCTCATCCATCTTTCACTCCCACTAAACTTCATCTTTCCATCTTTAAAAATTCTTCTATCAAGTAGAAATCATTGGTTCTCAATCACCGCCGTGTGATTTGATGTCTGCTGTTCTGCTGAAAAGTGAAAACAATCGCCGTATTGTTTCTCACTACCTGTAAAGCTGATTAATTATGTTGTTATTTTCATATTTTGCCAAATTAATGTAAATGTTTGATGTTAAACTTTGATTCTACAAATAAATGACCACATTCATTTTGATGGGTCAAAGATAAATAACGTCTCACGTTACATTTTATTAAATTCAATGCACGTTTATATTCAGTCCAGAAAAATGAAAGAATCCGTTTTAATTGATGAATATATCTCAGCATCTGTTCATCTACATACTGGTGGCCCGTCCGTACGTTTCCACCACAACCATAACATGTTGAGTATGAGTACTAACTAGAAAAATGTCATTTCCTGTGACAATGAAGTGTGAATGTTTATCAATGAATGATTTTAGCTGAAAGCTGCTGAACAGCTGAGATTTGCTGAAAACAGGAAAATAAAGAAAGAGCTACTATCAGCTGAAAGGAGCTGAAAGGAGCATAAAAAACATGGAACTGCTTCAGAAGAAGCACCAAAGGTTGAAATGAGCAAAGCAATATAGTGGAAAGAAGACTAAAACTAGCAGAAAAATACCTTTAAAAGTAGCTGAAATTAGTAGAAATTAGCTGGAAAAATAACAAAAAGGCTAACATTTACAGGAAAAAATGTTTAAGGAGCAAAAAAGCTAAAATGAGCAGTAAAAGGTTGTAAACAGCACAAATGGTTTGAAGGATGTGAAGAGAGCTTCATTCATTTTCTTTTTTTTTTTCTTTTCTCATTTTCAATGAGAAAAACATGGCTGACAAAGCTAAATACTTCAAAAAGTAAAAACTGCACAAATACCAAAAGTCACAGCTGGACTGTCCTGAATTAGCTGAATGTTTTTTATTTATGAATTGTTGAAAAAGAATAAAAACTGAAAAATAAAAGTTACAGAAAAATATATCTGAATGGTGGGAATCTAAAAGCATTACAACGATAAATAAAAAACAAAAAAGAAATAAGTCTGTTAGATGTGAACGAACCGGAATAAGGCATGAATACATCAAGACCACAATGCATTCCAAAACACTTGACTTCAAGCAGCGCATAAAAACTTCCTTAAACGATCACTGACTGTACCTTATCCATGTGAACATCTGCGCTCGTTTCTGAGAACCTCCAACAATGAACAGAGTGTCTTCACTTGTCTTTTCTCTGCAGACGCACTCAGAAATGCCTGAACTGTTTGTTTGTGAAACTCAAGAATGTCACGTTTCAGCAGCTTCTTTGTTTTGATGATCAAATTATTTCAGACGTCCAGAGGCTGATCTGTTGAACCGGTCTCAGTGGACCCAGCCATGTCTGAATTAAACTGCATCTTTTCTGTTTTCAGACATTGTCGATGGAAATCTGAAATCTGTAATGAGGATCATTTTGGCGTTGGCAGCCCATTTCAAGCCCTCAGCCAATCAGAGGACAGCTTCTGGAAGTGGGAGGGGCTCCATAAGAGGCAACGCAACCCACAACCCTCACTCTCCTGTAGCTCTAGCTCAGGGTGCCGTGGCGGCGCTGGCTTCAGCTCGACAGGACGCCTCACTGTCGGCTTGTTCAGCTCGTGTCAGCAGGTGAAGGTTTCAATACTGACTGTAAACTTTATGACACACACCAAGACAAAAACTTTTATAAGCATCTGTTTAAACTTCATTTCAAATGTTCTTTGGATCATTTAAACCAGGTGAACCCGTACCTCAGGCTTATAAACCTGGGTGATGTTTCCTGATGCATGCTCAATGCATGCTCATGCTGGGTGATGTTTTTTTACTGGTCTTATTAATTAGGAGTAGCATCAGACAGCATCAGGTTCTGCTGTCCTCTGGTGGACAACAAGTTACCTTCTGCTGTCAACTAGTCCTGACTGCAGACTGAGGCCCATCTTTACATACAACACGTAACTTTGTACCTCTTCACTGTGTGTTCTCTGTCAGCGTGTGGGGGTCAGATGGGGAGAAGGGCTTGTGTGTTCGAGCCTTGGTCCAGCAGTATGAAAGAGGCACAGATGAACAGAACAACTCTCAGCCCAGCAGGTAAGCTGCTTTAATAAACTCAGCTGAATTCTCTCTGTGTAGATTAACTTCTGTTTTGATGAGAACCACAAAGAAATAAAAATTGTTACATTTCCGTTCACTTACAACTTAAATCTAATACAGTAAAAGTTAATAATAGTTAACGTTTATAATGTTAAAGTGGGAAAACTGAAGTTTGCCTTTAACAATAATAATAATAATACATTTTATGTAGAGGTACAGTTCTGACTCTTAAGGACACCGAACAGAGAGTACAAGCAAGCATACGTATAAAAACAGTAAATACTAAAATATGCAAAAAAGTAGCACAAATTATATTGAAGTCGACCTTTAAGATCCAACTTGCTGCTACAAAAAGAAGAAGCTTGATTGTCATTGTAGGGGGGGGGGGGTGGTACAAAGAAACTTAGGTTGGCAGCAATCACTTTAGCTGCAACAATTGTGCAGAATGTTCACATGAGCTTAAGTTGAAAATGAAATACACTCAGTCTTTTACAATGGTGGTGAGATACACTGTGATTTTTATCACTGTCGTTTACATTCCTCCGGACGCTAATGCTAATGAATCACTGCAGGAGCTTCATGATATCATCAGCTCGCTGCAGAACAAACACCCCGAGGCTCTTTACGTGGTAGCCGGAGACTTTAACCACGTGAATCTAAAGGAGTGTCTCCCAAGCTTTAATCAGCATGTGATAATTCCGACACGTGGAGACCACACGCTGGACCGTGTTTACACGAACGTAAAAGATGCATACAAAGCCGAACCCCGCCCCCACCTAGGACTGTCAGACCACATCTCAATCTTCCTGGCTCCTGCTTACATGTCCCCGCTGAGACGCTCCAGACCGGTACAAAAGAAAGTTAAATGCTGGATCCAGGACAGTGGCCCCATACTGAGAGATTGTTTTGACCGAACAGACTGGCAGGATTTCAGAGAAGCTGCTGAAAATGGAGGATCGCTTGATCTTGACCAATACACATCCTCAGTTCTGGGTTACATTAGTACATGTACTGACACCGTCTCCACTATCAGAAATGTTAAAAGCTACCCAAACAGAAAACCTTGGCTGAATGCAGAGGTGCGTACCCTGCTGGAAGCCAGGAACACTGCCTTCAGGTCTGGAAACTCAGAGGAGCTGAGTAGGACAAGAAAAGAGCTGGTAGCTGGTATTAAGAGGGCCAAGGCCACATATGCAAAGAGGATCGAGGGTCAATTCATCTCACAAGACCCTCGGAGCATGTGGAGGGGCATTAAGTGCATAACAGATTATAAAGGAAGGAGTGAACAATGCCCCAAAGACCCATCTCTGCCTGATGCCTTCAACAAGTTCTATGCACGTTTTGAAGACCTGAACAGACCACCCAGCACCAGACTCACCTCACCACCGGACGAAGAGCATCTCAGCGTGACCTCAGCAGAAGTAAGGAGTACCTTCAGGAGGATTAATCCGCACAAGGCAACTGGCCCAGACAACATTCCCTGGAAAAGTGTTGAAGGAATGTGCTGATCAGCTCTGTGAGTTGCTGGCAGACATCTTTAACACCTCACTTACCCTGGAGACAGTTCCCACCTGCCTGAAGACTGCCACCATCATCCCAGTCCCAAAAATCTCTACAGTGACTGGTCTGAATGACTATCGGCCAGTGGCCCTCACCTCGATAGTCGCTAAATGCTTTGAAAAACTGGTCATGACTCGCATCAAAACAACCATCAACATCAACGAGGACCCTCACCAGTATGCATACCGTGAGAACCGATCAACAGAGGATGCAATCTCCTCTGTGGTCCACACTGCGCTCAACCACCTGGAGCAGAAAGACTCTTACATCCGTATGCTCTTTGTGGACTTCACATCCGCCTTCAACACCATGATCCCCCAAACCCTGATGGACAAACTATCCACACTAGGACTAAGCCCCTCCATCTGCAACTGGGTACTAGACTTTTTAACAAACAGACCACAGTTAGTGAGGATCCACAACCTCTCCTCCTCCACCATAACCCTCAGCACTGGCTCTCCTCAGGGATGTGTGTTGAGCCCCCT